TTTGATATCTTTCAAAAGAAATGAGATATATAGGCTCAAAGTGGACGATCCGGGTGTCGTTCTATTAGAGGTTTTACGGTATTTTAGTTTGTTTTCAAAAGATATTCATTGTAGACGTTGAAATTTTGTTATCAGAAAGGAAATATATGTTGCAAGTATCAACGTCAATCGCACCCGTACTCCATCTTCTAAAGGAATATCAGGAAAATTGAAATTGTACAAATTTTGAGTTTACAGATATAAAAATGTGTTTATTGGATGTAATTTGTTAACAATAGTTTCAAGACATCTTTTTTCAAGAAGGCTGTCTTGACTGTTTCATTCAAAAGAAAAAAGAATATCCGTATAGTTTGGATTGAATATTTTGATTTTCTTATTCAAAAACATGTAAACGCCTGAAGCTTCTTAAATTAGTGTACAATCTCAAATTCATGTTTAGGTTATTCTAGATGGTTCCTACAACATGTGAACAGAAGTACCCCATTCTACACCATACATCCCGTAAGACTCATTACTTTTAAAATGTTGTCATAACGGATATGACTATTGCACTACAAGTTTGTACGTAGGTTATAACCAATAAGTACGGTCTTTTTTCCGTAAAGGCCGCTCGGAAAAAAGTAAAAATAAGGAAAAACCTATTAAAGTCTCACAACATCTTGCAAATCATACGAAGTGTCTATTTTTAAAATCCTCGTTCATTACAAAAAAAAACAATGTTTTTTCTTGAAACCATCAAGAAAAGCCAAATATTTTTTTTAATTGACATAAGTCTCGTAATTCAAATGTTCGACCTATATTTGGAACGTTACTCGCCCTGGGGCATCTGATAGACATGGTACTTTTAGTTCTTATTTCTTATCAACTAGAATTTTTTAAATTTGATGGAACTCAAAATTTGTATAATTTCAATTTTCCTGATGTTCCTTTAGAAGATGGACTACGGGTGCAATTGACGTTGCAACATATATTTCCTTTCTGATAACAAAATTTCGGCTCTAGTATGAAATTCTGGTCCTTAAAAAAAAGTCTGGTCCTTAGAAAAAATTCAAGTCCTTGAATAAAAATTCTGTTCCTTAGAAAAAAATTCTGGTCCTTAAAATGTGTTAACGTAAATGTATATTTTTCATCTGAAAATTTCGTAAAATCCATGAATTTTGTTGTTTTAGTTTGTGTTTAAGAAGTTTTCATGGTAGACATTAATTAAATAGTAAATGTTGCA